TATATATATATATATATATATATATATATATATATATATATATATATATATATATATTTGCTTTTACAAATATTTACAGTACCAAAATATATACAGTTGGTTCAACTGATTGCATATTATACTAAATTAAATACCGACAACATGGACAGTTGCAGCAAAATAACAACAACAAAAAAACTTTCCATAAAATGATATAAAATACACTTTTATCTTTAAGGCAAGACCTCCATGTACCATTGTTATAATGATCCACTTTAATAATTCATTCAAAGCCCTAAATATTGATTCATAATAAATCATACACTTGCTTACTCTGCCCCAGAATGTTACAGTGTGTGTTTATGTGTGAGAATGTGTAATATATATGTTCTTTTAGGGATTCTGTTACAAGTGTAAAAGTTGCATGCTTAGTTTTGTGAGTGTGTGAAGGTCTCTTTAGTTGATATGAAACATCAATAAGCATACATTTAATCAATTGTATCTTGGTGCTAATTTCTGTAATCAGCTCTAAAACACTTAATGTGGCTGGTATTTTAATTATTGACATCTGAAATGGTTTTTACATTCAGCAATAATGTGTCTGAATATTAAGTGGCCATATCATTTAGTTAATCATAACATATATAATTAAATTTGTTTTCAAATGGCAAGGCCTTTATTTCAGTCGCGGTTAAGGTGTGGAAAGCTGCCTTACTGTTGTTAAATGAACGCACCACTGATTTAATGAGCACAAATTACCAACTTTTCACACTCAAAAGGATTCCAATGCAGGGTAATTTACTTAAAAATTCCCTTCATCTAAAAAACACCCATAATCCTGAAACGCACAAGCTTGAGTTTGCTTCCCAGAGCAAAACTGTTTAACCAAATGCCATCAAATTGACAATAGAAAAATAAAAAGTGTATATGGGATTTTTTTTGTCAAAAATGAATAAAACATGCATATTTGTTATGCTAATAAAACATGTTCAAAACAAATATTCCAATTCATGACATCTGAATGCAATCAAAACATATAAGTTTAACTGTAATGCCACCCTTCAGTTCATTGATCATGGCTTTTTAGACCATGCAAAATTGCCTTGTTTTTCCTTTCAATTGTTGCCACAAATGATCAGTCCAGGAATGGCAACGTACTTGGCCATGTGCCTCACTACATTCCAACGTGAGGACTTCCAAGTATCAAACTGCACACAGATATCCAGACCACAGAGGCCTTCATGCTATGTGGGGCCATGCCGTTCATTCTTCCCATAAGAATAAAACTCTTTCTGAGAAGTGCGTCCATTCTGATTAGATGAGCTGGGAAGGCCGGTAAAGACCTTCCCCCACACATCAAAGGCCATCCTTGGCCCCCCATGCCCTTGCCATTGTTATTTTGATGTATGCTCATTGCTCACTCGGTTGACTGTGACTATATCACCACTATCAGGGCTGGTTAATATCCTGTGCCGTCAAAAAGGAAATAGACAGCGGTAATAGACTTCTTCTGTAGGTATTGAGGTGAGTGAGCACCAAAAAAAAAGACCCCCATTTATCATTAAAACAGGTAAAAGATGTTGAGTACTCAGATGAGAAATGAAATAAAAGCAGCAGGATAACACAAAAAAGTCATACAGAATTGGAAGTTTGACTCACGAAACAACACATATTAAGCTCAGTGATTTTGTACCTTCTTTGATTTGAGAACATATGCTTAGTCGGCAAATAAAATGCTATCTTTTTAAAAACCGAACACCTTCAGAATAATACAAGGCATTCAACATTCAAAGTCATTTTCTTTTCTAGATGACTAATTCACAAATCAACTAGTATTATTAATTAATTACAAAAATGTGCCTACTTTTTCAAACCACATCAATAATAATAAAAAAAGAAAAAGAAAAGCTTGTTGTTTAATTTGACCATCATCATCATCAACAGGTTCAAACAAATATGGACAAACATATGGCAGCAGAAATAAATACAAATACATACAATAATATACAGAAATGTTCATGCACACCTTCATCAATACTGCCATTTGATTTAAACCACTTAATTTTCAGTCTGGTTACATTAACAGACCATGTCATGAAAGGGAATAGCACCATAGACACTATAGCACCATGACGTTTTTGGAAAAAAAAGAATTTTTGTATAAATACAGTGCTGTGAAAAAGTAAGTACACCCCCATGAAAAGTGTCGTATTTAGGACAGATATTGGATTGACATTCCGTCAATGTTAATAGATCAAATAAATTATAATTTAATAAATCATATTTTTTTTATAATGATTTGTGCCATTTCTTTTTTACATCACTGTATGTTTCTTGAAATATATACTATTATATCCATGAGAGATTAGAGATCAAATTAAGCAATGAATGGTTGCTTATGGATGTTATAGGATAGCTTAGCATTTGTTATCACTATCCACACATATAAAGTGGATGGAAGATGTATGTGGGGCTCTTCATTACGACTGAGGTAGACACAAGCAACTGGCCAACAAGCATATTTAAAAAAAGACGAAAGAAAAAAAACGGGCCTTCCCTGGGTCTGAGGGAAATGCAATGAGGAATTTTACACTAGACTAAACATGTTTTTTTGTTGACTACTACACACAAAAAAAGAGAGATATTACTGATTTTGTAAATAACCTAGAAAAATATTAGAATTGCAGAACAAATCAACAGACAAAATGACACAAAACTACATTTGATTTCAGATTAGGTCACAACTTTTAGTATTTACTTAAAATGTACTTCTGTAAATTACCTTAAATATACAAAAATATAGCAACTATAGACAGATTTTCACATAAAGTCTCCCTTGTACTGATAAAGCACCATCATCAATTTAAAAAAGGTCAATGGCTAGCTGAGTTCATGTGAGGTATGGTTGAAAAAAAAATCAAGAGAAATGAATTATGAAGATCAATAGAAAAACCACAGAAAGATTGTTTCAATATAATAAAGTAAACTGCCTGTGGTCAGATGTTTTAGCTCTGTAGTGGAGCAATACACGCGTTGCTGCCCATGTATTCTAAATACTATATACAACTGTACTGTATTTTGAACACAAGCCACAGCAAAGGGCATCACAATGATTTGTATTTATCCAAAGTACAGCTGCATTGGGCAAAAGAATCCTAACATAGAAAATGAAATGGAGAAAAAAAGCAAGCAAAACAGCATTCAAACTTAAACACATCGACCAAAGAGATGCTCACTTTTTCAGTCAGGAAATAAACCTCTAAAACAATATTTAACTGCATGTTTGGTAGATCTTTAAGTGCAACCGAAACTCGCTAAAAAGCAGCTATTTGCTTCCTCAAAGATCAAACCATTTGAGTTTCAGTTTGTGTTCTTCATGTCTTGAGCGTAAAGAAACATCTGCATGTTGTGAGAATGAGAACTTATGAAGGGAAAAAGTTAAAATAGTTACGAGCGTACCGAGCTCCATTGGTCTGTGCTCCAGTGAGGGTTAATAGAGCAGGACTGAGTATTGCACTGTTCTCGGTCGGGTGGTTTGTCAAGAATTTCACAGCTCAGATCGTTAAAGCGCTCCCCGTTGGGCCGCTGACAAGCGACCAACCGGGTCTTTATCCCTCCTCCGCAGGATTTTGAACACTAGGGAGGCAGAAACAGAGTATTGGTGAGAGAAAAGAAAGAGTGAAAGTCTGGCTTTATTAACAGATACAATTTTTCTGAGAGCACATTTTCAAAAGACGGCTTGGACCACATATATAATGTCAAAATATTATAATCTCACGGTCTTCTCTTGAGTAGGCACACTTCTAAAGCTTCGTTCAAATAGACAAAACAAGACATGTCGGCCTATCCTACTCAAATATACTTTGTATTTTTGTCTGAATGGCAAACAAATCCTATATTGACCCTAATGCAAGAAACTGATTTTACAAACCAGTTGTAAATGTGAATAAAAATGTTAATGCATGATTAAAATGGAAATCGTGTAATGTAATAAAAAAAAATGTCTTAGCTAATGGATAGCATATACATACATGCATACACCAATTCAAACGTTTGGGGTTGATTTATTTTCTTTATTTTATACAGTATAAAAATTTTAAAATGTAATTGATTTCTGTGTTAAATTACTCCAGTCTTCAATGTCATATGATCCTTCATAATCATTCTGATTTGATGCTCAAAAGACATTTCTTATTATTATCAATGTTGAAAAGATCTGTGCCGCTTAATATCTTTGTGGAAACATTTTTTCAGGATTTTTTGATGAATAGAAAGTTCAAAAGAACACATTTGAAATATAATAAAGCAATAAGCCCCAAGAAGCCATGGTTTACAGTGAGTTTATAACAGCTAAGCGGCGTTGTTAGGCACGATGTGAAGCAGAATAAAACAGAGCAAAAAAACAGTATTCTTCCACCAAACAATATAGTTCTTCAGAATCAGTTGTGGTTGCAACAAAGTGCCTGCCAAGCAACAGACAAACGTAAACAAAGGTGTATGTTTGTAGAGTAATTTACAACAGCTTTGAACGTGGCTCAGCCAATCAGAATCAAGGACCGGAACTATCCATTTTATAAATATTTTTTTAACATTACAAATGTCTTTACTGTCACTTTTGAACATTTAAATGTGTCCTTTCTAAATAAAATATTCAAATATTAATTTCTTGGAACAAATCTTACTGACCTCAAACCTTTCAACAGTAGTATATATTTGATTAAAGGGGTCATATTATGTGATTTCAAGTACACAAAATAATGTTCTTTTTAGCAGCATCATATGACCCCTTTAAATAAAACCAATTCAATTGAATTGAGAGCATCTTACCTCACCCCAGCTGCCATAGAACCATTGAGGGCAGGGGCCGGACTCACAGGAGCGTTGCTCTGTGGGTTGAGTGCTTTCATCACAGCTGTTGGCAGGGTAGCCGTTCTCATCCTGACACACCACTACACGCCTCTGGAATCCTCCGGCACAGGTACTTGAACACTGAGAGGTGTGAAAGAGAAACAGAAGCTGCATAATGAGAGAAGGGCCACACACACATGCCTTCCATACAATCACAAACACAAGCAAGCACATTCTCAATAGACCAATTTCACATTCCATTAGCCTTGACAGAAAATATACATCAATACATAAACACTGACCAACCCTGACTCCTTTGATGAGAACGATTATGACTGGAATCGATTATGACTATTTCCATAATTATTATTTTTTTAGAAAATGTTGGAACTGAATGACATTTCGTTTTATTAATGCTTGACTCTTGATGGTATGGCAAAAGAAATTATGTTTTAGCTAAATTCTGAATAAGCTGAATTAAATGTGATAAGAGAAATAGAGAATGGCAGAAACAATACAAAAACATTAATAAAAAGCATTGCATTGAATTTATTACCATATATACTAAAAGTCTGTGAACGTTTACATTTTTTAAATGGTTTTGAAATACGTCTATTATGCATACCAAGGCTGCATTTATTTAATCAGAAAAATAGGAAAACTATATTAATGTGAAATATTATTACAATTTAAAATAACAATATATAAATTACAAAAATAATTACATTTTATTTATTTTATTAGCAGTCTTCACAATTCAGAGTCACACGATTCTTCAGAAATTCTAATATTACCTAAACTTTTGAATGATATATATATACCGCATATATATATTGTATATATTGTGTGTGTGTATATATATATATATATATATATACATACAGATTTAATGTGACTAATGGATAGTAATATTCAAAGTATCATGAATTATATCCTTAATAAGTGGAATCAGAATCATTCAATTGCTCATGATTACTATCACTTGGAAGGATGCAAATTATATATAGCTATAAAGGAAGCGCTTTTAGAAAGGTCTACAAATACCTACAAGACAAAAAGGAAGAGCTTCCCAAAAACTGCACAATATTTAGCTGTTCTTTGAACTCTAAAGACTATTTAAAGCAATGATATCATGAAGGAAACAGGAGCATTTATCAGAAAGAGGAAATGCTGCTGCTTGGGTGACTTCTTAGAGAGTTCATGTACTGGTGAGCTTAGCTGTCATTCTGTTCCTGGGTTTGCAAAAAGTTCTCTAACAGGACTAGTATGTGGAATATATCAAATATCAGAGACATGCAGAGACATTATCATTTTTAGAGGTACTTACCGCCCCCCATGGTCCAGTCCTCCATTGATGTGACTGGGGTCTGCCAGCTCTGTTACGGTCAGTTCGTCCGGCGGGAACTGTTTTTTTCCGAGAATCAGTGTTAGGTGAAAAGCCCCCGTGGTCGCTGGAGCGAGACGGACACTGGGGCATGGCACACTCCTGCTCTGTTGCTGGTTGATCATCTGGGTCACACTCACTCATTTCCACAACTTGATCACTGATGTTCATGCACACTACTTGCCGTGTAGTCTTACCCTGACCACAGGATACGGAGCACTGTAAATACAGACAGATACACACACAAACACACACACATGATTGCACAGAAAACACATTATACTGAACAATAACACCATATATTAAGATGGTAACCGACCACACCTAAGTTTAACCTTAAAACTGTCAGGATTTGTATTTTTGAATGAACTATTACTTATATTAAAAATAGAAGAAAAATAGTCCCCTTAGTTTAGTGTGTTTGACTTTTTCAGATATCTGAAAGTCTTGATTTAAAAACTAAAAAGCAGGAGAACATTGGCTAAAGCAATCCCACCACACTAATACTTGTCTTCCTGTACAAATGTGAATAGTATGCACACCGAACCCCATCTGCACACAAGAGCCACAAAAAATTAACTCTCATCAGTTTCCAATTACAACTGAGCTCTGAACACCAGAATGAGAGCAGAATGATCAAGGTCAATGGACTATGATATTAGGCTGCAGAACAGCTGTGAACGAAAATGCAAATACTTGCAGTATTGAAACAATGTTGGCTAACACAGTGGTATGTTAATATTGCACAAATATACTGAATAAATACAGTGGGGTCCAAATGTCTGAGACCACAAAATGTAATTTAAACTTGAAAATAAACAAAATATTTAATATATAAAAAAAAAAGGTATGCACTATTTCTAGGTCACAGATGAAATAAATACATTTGTGATCTTGACCATGTGAACTCTCTCTGCAAATGATTTTCCTTGTTCCATTGAAATACAAAAACTATTTTAAACTATGCTGGATAAAATCATCAGGTTAATTTTTCAACTTTTCACAAAATAGCTAAAAAATAAAATTAAATAAAATTAAATTAAAAAATTAAATTAAATTAAATTAAATTACATTACATTTGAGATAAAAGGTATGTTTTATTTACCGGAGTCCATTCCAGGACCTTCCACTGTCCGCATGCCACTATGGAGCAAACCTCACTAGCAGGAGGTTTTGGAAGATGGGAGCAGGCTGATTCCTCTGCTACTCCACCCTGCTGGTCACGGCAACTTACATAGCGCATCCGGGTGCCCTTTCCACAGGTGGCGCTGCACTATTGTAAAGAACAACCATTTTACAATATCTACAGAACCTATTACATCGTCTAGCACAATAACTACTAACAGTAATTCATATACATGACATTATTCAAGAACGTACCTGTGTCCAAGATCCAAAGCGCCACTGTGTTTTATGACCAGGATGTGACATCACTTTGGTCTCTGGGGCAACAGGATGAGTAACAGGACACTGCGAGAGTTCACAGTCCTGTGGAAGGGAGGAAGTGGGGAAGGACAATCAATTTTCGGTAATGAAGATCCGTGACTCTAGGGGTGAGGCCGGTAGGGCTTCAAGGCTGGAGCCAGTGTGCTTGATTTATGCTTGACTGGCTGAAATCACTTGTTCTGGGTCACTGCGCCTTACGGCAAATAGAGGATTTAAAACCAGGGGGCCTCCTGCTTTCTCGTTCTGTCTGCCGTATCCATCCTTTCGGTTCCTGACTCTCTCACACTCCCACCTACCTCCACTTATTCCCCCTTGGTTTCTGCCTTCGCCAATCATTTTACATGTCTCTCTGAAATACCTGACCCTGATTGGTCAAGCACAGTGTTCTGCGGTCAAATAGTTTAGTATAAAGACTGTATAGTATAATTTACCAGTTTTCTACATAGCAATCGATTTACTGCTGAGCTATGCTTGTTCTTTCTGTTTATGTTTTATGTAACTTTATAATATCAACTCAAATCAAAATTTTACTTTGGTAAGTAGCTGTGTAATATGTGGGATAATGTAGTCATCCTGGTATTATCATAAAATAAAATCCTTCAGGGTGATACAAGATCCTTCCACTTTCGCGTCCGGGTCCTGATCATCCTGCTTAGGTTTATTTTGCGATAATCTGGCTGACTGTAAAATATCCCTTATTTATTAAATTATTTTCTCTCTCTGTCTCTTATAGTGTATATTACAGTATATGTCTTATGTATACATGTTCTTAGGCTTTTATCAACCTGGTTGGCTTGACGGTGGGAAAAAAGGGCTCTTTCTTTCATCTCCTAAAAGCCTTGTGAAAATGAAGCTCTATAAAACCAATGCCTCAGGAAAGTTCATAAAATACTCTGTGAAATGTAGCGTTCAGCCACTCCAGCTCTGCAGCACAATTACACTGGGGGAGGGGGAACGGGCTAAATGTAATTTTGCAGGTATGTGCAGATTGTTAAGTAAATAAAATCAAGATCCAGATGACTGCAAATTAACTTAAATGACTATTAAATATAAATCTGCAGTGGAACTATATAGACATGGAAGTTATAATCACAACAGTTCATACTGAAAAAACGACACATGCAAACACACAAGTTAATGGTGCACACACACATACAGGGTTCCCACACTATTTGACCAACGTATTTCTTTATTTTTTCCAGTCGTTTATAATAATAAAAATTCAGATTCAGATTAATGAATCATCTGAATAAATATTTGACAGCCCTAAAAAACATACCTTTTAAATTCCCTGATATTTCAAAACATTGGGAACACTTTTAAGGTTCATTTCCTATTAATGGCCTGATGAAACATGTGTTTGTATGTGTAGACCCATGCTTTTCCTTCAGACAAGGCTTTATTGAGTGCAGGTGATAAATATGCTGGATGAGAAACTTCCTTCCTGCCTTTCAGGCTGTACCTGCACGCACTTTTTTTTCTCTTTTCCAGTTTCTCATTCCAGGATGGTGTAAAACTACTTAGTAAATTAATACTTTGTACATACCTAAAAGACAACACCTCTCTTCAAATTACTGCACAGTCATTAATATAACACCTCAAAAAATTACTTATATCTTACAAACTGAGTGAATAACAATGTATAAAATGCAAAAGAATAATTTTAATGGATAGTTCACCCAAAAAATGAAAATTCTGTAATCACTTAAAGTTGTTACAAACCTATAACAGTTGCTAATATTCACTTACTTCCATAGTATGGGAAAAAAAATTATATGGAAGTCAATGGCTACGCTACCGTCAACTATTCGGTTGCCAACATTCTTTAAAATGTATTTTATGTTCAACAGAAAAAAAAAAACTAAATTTGTAAAGGATGACAGAATTTTCATTTTGGGATGAACTATTCCTCTAATGTATCAGTGCCACAAATCATGTCCATTTCAAGGCAAAACAGTGTTTGCAATAACGGTAACGCATGATCTCCAAGGTTTCTTAATTGTGCTGTGGTTCAGCTATTAAAAGCAACTTTTAACCCACTCCCTGGCTTCTTGCTCTTTCATTTCATCAAGCATACAGCAAATTGAACCAGGAAGACTGGTTCACCCCTTTATGGTTTTCGGTAGTTATATTATGAAAAACTAACACCGTTCTTAGTTCGCACTCAATAATGAGAAAGAGAAAAATGAATGAGAGTCAGTGTGAATGTTAGAGATCAATGCTCCTACCTGAGTGTCTGTTGGACGTGTTGCTGCATTACATTCAGAGTCATCCATGACAGAGCCGTATGAGCCAACCACACACTTCACAGCTCTCATCTGATAGCCCGGGCCACATGTGGTGGTACACTACACGCACAAATAAAGAGGGAGGTCAGTTAGGGACAGTATCTCATTTAATGTTACATTGTAATGCCTATGAATTACCCAGGAGAATAAGTTGAGATTTAAGACTGCCACTATGGACTGCTTGCATCAATCCAGCACTGATGTGATAAGCACCCGCATGGGCAACCTGGGACGTGGGCCAGTAATTTGTCCACCTTTCTGCTTTTCTTTATCTCTTTTCCTCATCGTTGACTTGACTGCAACAAGGTCAAGCTTATGTGGCAGCATTTGCAGCTAGATCACATATGCTTCAGTAAAGCACCTCAAACATGCATTTATCAGGATTGTTTAATCTATGCAAGAGCGATGTCTAATCTCTATCATACTTTAGGACTTAAAGAAAGTTTGCCCACACAAATGCTACAAATTATATGACCCCCCTCTGGGTGATCTCTGGAAAAAATCTATTTGATTTTCTGAAGACAGTCATAAACTGCTCGAGTGGATAGAAAACAGATTATCCATGAATAGATGATATTCACACGGTGTCTGCAAGTTTTAAAAAGTATTTCAGATGGATTTTGTAACAAAAAGCTTAAAAAAGATTTTAACATCACATTCTGCTCAATGGTATGATTTGCTAAAAAAGACGCTATTATATTAAATACTCTTAAATTACTTGATTTTGTTTTCTTTTATTTTCAACTAAATTCTTTTGAACTGATATTTCATCTAAGACTTCTGAAAAAGACTACCACAGTCTCCAAAAAAAAAAAAAAAAGCATCTGTTTTTAACATTAATAATAATCATCAAATGTTTCTTAAGCACAAAATCAGCATATCAGAATGATTTCTGAAGGATCATGTGACATAGCTGCTGAAAATTGCTGACAGTTATGAAACAAATTACATTTTTAAATATATTAAAATAGAAAACTGTTATTTTAAATTGCAATGAAATTTCATAATATTACAGTTTTTTTTATCAAATAAATGCAGCCTTCTTTCAAAAAAAATAATAATAATCTTGCCAACTCTATACTTTTTGAATGGTAGTGTATATACTACTTTTTTGGTATTCAACAGTGGTTATCATATAAATCAGAATGAAAAAATCTATTATCACCTTTGCAATAATATCAAATATCTTGCAGTACAAGCTCAAAAAATGGCACATTCACACAGATGTTTTAAAGCAGCACAGTGTTTTGCACTATTGAATGTTGATTATTAATTTCCATGTATAGCTGACAAAAAAAAACAAGATGAAAAACTTTAAACTTGCTCTGATGGCATTTTATTTAAGTACATGCAGCAAAGCATCTAGTGAGAAGCAAGTTTTTCAATGAACTAATGTGGGACTTCTGTGAACAATATTTAAAACTTTTTAAAAAAGTAAATGAAACACGTTAATACTTTTCAGGGATCCATAGACCTTATAAACAACATAGTTATGTTTGTTTCAGATGTGTTCCACATCGACACAAAAGTACCAAATGTTGTTATTTGGCAGGTCCCTAACTTCGTTCAATTTTTGTGGCCGCTTTCCGCCCACACAGCAGCTGTAATAATCTGTTTACAATATCTGCCAGCTATGACTGCACTGACTCCTGGAAATTACATTGCATTATCACAATACATTTGAATTTTCATTTCACAGGCATAAGCATCAAATATGCCTCATGTAATACCTGACATACCTGAACATGTCATGCACCTAAATACTGTTTTTTTTGTTTGTTTGTTTGTTTCTCACCTGTCCCCAGGGTCCCACCTGCCAGGAGGCACATTCTTGCTGTTGGCAGGCCTGTACTGACTCTGGTTTGGAGGAATCACAGAAGCGGTCTTCCAAACGCTCCTCTCCAAACCGACACCAAGTCTGGCGGTGCTTATAGCCCTTGCCACATGTCACTAAACACTACAAAATTAATTCCAAAGTAGCATTAGAATAAGTCATGGTGGATGACGAGATTTTTACTCTAATGGTTTAAAGAGCAGGTCATATGGGTTTTTGAAAAATATCTCTTTTGCAGTTTATAACGTAGCTATCCTTAAATGAAAACAATCTGCAAAGTTGTTAATCAAAAAAGTGCATGATAAATAAATATATTGTCTCTCAAAAGAGAGAGTCGATTCTGAATCGCCTTAACGAGTCGTCATATTTTCGAATCTTTTGCCTGTTACCGGTATACGTCACTGGGTAACACATTTCCATAATCCCCACCTGCCCGGGAAATATGAACAGAGTCTGACCTGCCCACAAACACTTCAGCTAGTTAATGTGTTTACATCATGTTGAGAAGACGCTGTGTTCAAGGATACCACAGAAATACTATTCAAACCTTTTGTTGTGGGCATGACATTTTACCAAGGACTGCTTCTCTAATCTTGGCTTTTATCTTTGTTGGCTTCTTCTATCTTTTTAATTTTGACTAACAAGCTCTCCGAAGCACAACCTGTAAGTACGATTGATACATTACATGTACATTTTCAATTGAGTGCTCAAAATATCAAGTTTTTGTGCTAATATGTGATGTACACCTAGTGCAGCTTTAGGTTTCCAGGTAAAGCACGATATTACTGTCTTACTGAAGTAGTTCTGATAATTCGCTGTGAACCCACTATTTCCTAAGAATGTGTCGATTAATGTAGACTGACGTTGTTCTAATCACTCTTTTTAATAATAAAGAATGTAGTGTAGCACACAGAATATAATCATTGTGAAATTGCTGTTTATTTTGCTGCACCGACAGTTATAGGGTTAATGCGGGAGAGACGAGCGAGTGCGTCTGTGATACAACTGT